TTCCTGACAGAAAATTCCTCACTATTATATTTGTATAATATATTTAAAAATGCTTTCATTATTTTATAATATACTATACATATATACAAAATATAAATACGTGTGTGTGTATGTATATATATATTTGTATTCGGGGCCATTTCAGTATAGTATGAAATAGCTAGTGAGTATACTTATCATAATAATTAAAAGTCGGTAGAGGTGTGCCGAAACCGACGTGTGTGGTAGGCCTGTAAATAAGAGGGCCCACCTTAAATAGCATTTGAATAGAGGGAGAGGAGGGTGGGTCAAACGAGCATCTGGACCAGACGGTGAATGAGGTAGGAGGGGGAGTCCCTTTTAAAGGGATATAGCCCCTCCCACAACTTCAGGCCCTGCCTTCCAATTTGTATTCGGGGCCATTTCAGTATAGTATGAAATAGCTAGTGAGTATACTTATCATAATAATTAAAAGTCGGTAGAGGTGTGCCGAAACCGACGTGTGTGGTAGGCCTGTAAATAAGAGGGCAAAAAGGAATACCCATATAATGTTATCAAAGATATTTATTAACGAAACCAGAAGACATGGAGTTAGCATATTTACGATGACATTTTCACAAATGCATGCCTTAATTCTTGTGTTGGCTGTGGTATGTAAACAGCGTAAGCGGATGACTTCCAGCGGCCCAAGGTTTTTATGATGTGAACCGGGATGTCTAGGCCTGAGGCTGTGGAGGCTGCCCCTATCCGGAATGAATGCCCAGAATAGTTTGCGGCGTTTCAGCCGAGTCTGGTCAATAGTAAGCGAATATACATCACAAATTTGGCGGTAGTGAGTGCTGTGCCGTGCAGTGAAAGGAGAGCGAGTGAGGTTCGTGTAGGTGATGACTGTAGATAGTTGTTAAAAACTTTCACCGGGCACCATGCGCTGTTGGTGGGGTAGTATTGAATAAGAACCTCGTGCCCCATCTGGCTGGTCTTAGTTGAAGGTAAGCTTAATACGTAGTGGTCCTGTTTTTTGTACAAGTTAGAATACCGGAGGCAATGCTTGGACTCGTGTTGCCTAGTAATGGTAAATTCTCTGGGTCGTAAGAAACCGTAAAAAGCCAAGTATATGGCAGTTTTAAGAGTGGTGTTAGTAAGGGGTTCGAACGGTGTGGTATCTAGTAGGTTTGACAAACGTTTAAACAGTTGAATGTCTATAGGCCCCCTACGTTGCGGTGTAGGTCCTTGCGATTTGAGCATACCCCTAAGTTTTAATGGGGTAGGAGGTGAGAAACCCTTGGTTGTTAGGATGTTCTGTGAACATATGATGTTGGATACCTGTGAGGTATAGTTTTGTGGTATTATGCGACATTTTTAACTTAATGTGGCAAAATGTGGCAAAAGCTACCAATGTTACATTGTCAAACCAATTTGTGAGATTATGGTCTGCCATGAATTTCTTGTATAGGTAGTAAGCTCTATCATATGCGCTATGCGTGTTTTTTGCGAGAGCGAGTTTTGTAAGTATCTTGCTGTGTTGTAATAATTCCTCTAGTCCATGATTAGATCCTGGAGTTGGGGAGCGATCGTGGCTACTGGTGACGCTGTTGGTAGAGACTCCCTGAACGCCTGAAACTGAAAGCGGGACAGCTGGTCAGCGGCTGTATTATAGATACCCGCTACATGGTAACATACTAGATGAAACTGATGACAGGCCGCCAACCACGTAAGACGTCTGATAAAACTCATGATGGTTAGAGAGGTAGACCGGCCTTTGTTATGACGTGGCAAATCGCCAAGTTGTCAGAAAAACATCGAACTGGTCTACCTGCCCA